TGGCAGTGCTCTGCCTCAGGGGGGTCTCTGCCAGCTCCTCGGGTTTTAATTGAGCCTAAGGAACTGGGAGATCGTTCTTTGCTGTTTTCTTTGTGCAGAAGGATTATCCATTTTTTGGTATGGCTCTTCTGCATGTTAAGTAAGCAGAGCGTGCAAAACTCAAATCACAGCTGTGCAGGAACGTTAAGTATTTATCTTGTTGTTCAAGAGAGTTTTTTCTTCTGGTCTTGGGCATGCTGAGCACCTGAGTGCATGCTTTTTCAGCCAGTCACACCTGCTGTGACCTCAGGGACACAGATCAGCTTATGAGCTGGGATGGGACAAGCTGGGAGGGTATGGGGACGGATGTGACTGCAGATGGCACTTCTCAGTCACAGAGCACTCTCTCTGTTTTGCCATAGCACCAAGTCAGCCCCCTGGGAACATCATATGGAACTCATCAGACTCCAAGATCATACTGAACTGGGACCAAGTGAAAGCACTGGATAATGAGTCAGAAGTGCAGGGCTACAAGGTGAGTGCCAGCACAGGCAGTGGGACCATGACCAGGCACAGCCTCCATCGGGACCTGCAGGGAGGCCTGATGGAACCTTGGCTGTCCCCACATTCTTGCACGGTGCTTTAGTGGAAATGTTCATTATCTCATATTGAGTTTGGGGTTTACAGTAAGAACTTGGGTGGAAACCTTCCAGAGGCTGTAGCCAGCTCCTTAATTGCAGATAAATAAAATGCTTTTTTAATAGCTCTATTTTCTTCGGAAAGCAAAGCCAAAAGAAAAGAAAGAGAATCCTCATTAGTAGCAGTTTTAATAGGGCTTAATTTAACCAGAGAGAAATTTTGGGAAGATTTCAGCTCCATCACCTTCCACAAGGGTTTAATTTGGCCCAAAAAAGACATCAGTGAGCGAATGCCAGCCAGTGCCTCCAGGGCCGGGCTATGTGAGCGTTTCCATCAGAGCTGGAAGCGATGAAGGACCTGGGCACACTTTGTGTTCTGTTCACTGCCCACAGTTTGGGGGCATCAGACTCGCGCGCTTGTGCCAGCTCTCATGTCTGCCCTCACTTCTAAGTACCTTTGGTGCACTCTATTGAGAAATCAAAAGTAAGGAATTTCTCGGGGCTTTCAGTCAGAATCCCCAGGTGAATCCCAGCAGTTCAGACCATCTCATTCCTACGTATTTTTGGTCTGAAATGCAAATTAAGGAGTCGGTTAAAACAGGCGAAAGAGACTTTCATCACCTTTGAAAAAGCAGAATCTTACCTCACAGGTTTCTAAAAATTCCTTGTGTAACTATGGTTAGGATAACAGTCACATTCCTTACTGGCTCACAGCAAAACATTGCCTAGCTTTTTATTTTTTTTTCTGGAAATCTTCTGAATTATGCCACAATTTATGATGCTAAGTAATAGGACTTCCAGTTCTTAGAAAGTGAATTTAAAAAGTAGTTTACCTGGGGAGGCCAGTAGTGGCTGCTGGGGTCAGGATGACAGCACCTTGGCGACCACACTGTGTGTCTGGGTGTCACTGGGTGCATTTTGGGTACTCAAGGTAAGGGAAGAGCAGCGGTCAGACCAGACTCTCCTACAGCAATGAGTGCTTCTGCTGTTCATGAGTGCTTCCTCATCGCTCTCCCACAGGTTCTGTATAGGTGGAACAGGCAGAGCAGCGCATCAGTGATTGAAACCAACAGGACCTCTGTGGAACTCTCCCTGCCCTTTGACGAGGACTACATCATCGAGATAAAGCCCTTCAGCGACGGGGGCGATGGCAGCAGCAGTGAGCAGATCCGGATCCCAAAGATCTCAAGTAAGGCTGGGGAACAGGTGCCCCTCTGCTCCGTTTCACCCCAGGAGCAGCCAGCAGGACTTGGGCATGGGCATCATGCCCTGGGGGGGGCTGAAATTCAGCATTCAGCAGCAGCCCAGCTCAGGGTCCTGGCTCCAGCCTGAGCCAAGTTTAAAATATGAGGAAACGCTGTCATAAGTGCTTACGGTTGTGTTTAAGATTTCTGCACACTTTCTGCTCTCCTACTTTCGTACTCATATATACTGAATATATTGTTTCACTGCAATTCACTATAACAAAATATAAAATGCAGTGTTCGGAGACTTTTAAATTTATAAGGCTACTATATGGCAATATTCCATTCTGTGTTGGATGCATAAATATTTATTTAGGGAAATGAGGTTGTGCAGAAGAACAAACAGAAAAGAGAGTATTTTATTACTCAACATTGCTTTTGCAAAATCTCCATGTCCCATCTTCCATTAATAATACCGCTGTTTATAAGCTGCATTAAATCAGCTGCCTCTGCAATGCAGGAATGTGGCATTAAAATTACAGCGATGTGAAAAACCATGGATGAGATTGGAATTATCTCCCCCTGGTTGTGTGCTGTGGCCATACAAACCCTGCAGAGGGATTTCATCAGCAGACACAGCAGAGCAGGAGCGCACGCCAATTCCTATTTGGCTCCATGCGGGAGCATCCCTGTAGGATCCTTTAGGATCGTCCTTTAGGATGTGGATTGGGCCAGACTGGTGCTGTAAATAACAGCTTGAAAGTAGCAGAATTATAAAGAGAAACGTTGGAGAAGCCTCTGCATAACAGCAATGGGGATTTCAGTGGGCGGAAGGGGTGGTGGTGGGGCATGGGGACGGGCAGGGCTGCGGGCTGAGGGTTTGCAGTGCTCTCCTGATCTCCCCTCTCTCTCTGCTCAGATGCATACGCAAGAGGAGGCAGCTCTTCGACCTCCAACGCCTGCACACTGTCGGCCATCAGCACGATAATGATCTCGCTCACAGCTCGGTCCAGTTTATGACAAAAATTACACGGAGGACTTCTTGTTTATAATATAAGCAACATTTAGCTAGCTGTTTCGAAGACACCCAGTACCAAGTAATATTGTGGTTTGAGTACATCTTACTACTGGAAAAATGTTTATGCTTCTTTAGGAATGGCATTATACAGTACTTCCTCAAAGCAAATATAGCTTTGTCTGAAGTTTCCTTGGAAACTCTGCAATGCACTGAAAACATCTGTAATACGATGTTACCAAAGCAGTTTACATATGTCCTTATATGCATATTTTTTATTATATATTTAGTGTTTTATAGAATTTTTTAAAGTTAACATATGATGTAGATATTAATTTTTCCTCTGCTATAAAATGCTATGGACAACATTATCACGAAAATATTGTTTGGAATTTTTTCCTTTCTGACCGAGAGTTCCACGTTGTTCTTAGTCAGCTGGCCGCCACTTTCCTGTATGGTGTCACAGGGCCCCGCGGGGCAGAACTGCTTCCCACCGGGTGCAGAGTGAGCGGCGATCCTTGTGTGACCCCAGTGCTGTTAGCACACGAGACTTTCCATGTTATTCAGAGGATTCAGCGAGACAGACTCCAAATGCTCAGAAAGAACGCCACGATCTTGAAACGGAACGCGCAGCTTTTGGTCGTTTGCGGACTACAGGACATGTAGCTGATATTCTGGCACCACGCAGTAAGGTTCCATTTTTACTGTCTTGAAATAGCTTTGTCTTTATCATGATTAGCATTAAATTGGGAAGGAATGGAGACAGCGCGGAGATGTCGGGTACCAGTGGGTGTCCCCCAAGGGCCTTGCTGCAAACCCGGCTCATCCCGTGCCCACTTTGCTCCGAGGACACCGAGAGCAGCGCTCCAAGACGCAGCGCAGCCGGGCTCAGCGCTGCCCAAATGCTTCCCTCCCTCGTCCCATAGTCATCCTCCTCTCCAGCCCCATTCTGGCACACGCCGGGGCCCGGCAGCGGTGTGGGGAGAGGGAGCCCACAGCTCTTGGAACCCCTCGGAGGAACCCGGAGGCGTAACAGCGGCACGCCGGAAAGCGACAATATCCACAGCAAAAATCATCTTCTTCAGAGAAGGACTGTTTGTTACTACGGGGTACTTTTGTACGTTCACTCAGATGGGATAACGCTAGTACAAGGCAATGGAATTTTCTATAAAGTTTTCAAGTTTAAATGCGCAGCAGTGGTTTACTATCATTTTTTCCTGATAGCTTGAATTTGCCTGTAACTTGTCTTTTTTGCTTACAAAATAATACAGTTAACTTTTAGACCTTCTAAATATATTTATTCAGTAACGCATAATCAGGATTCCACTTGTGTAAAAGTCAGGGGTGTTGACCAGAGAAATATTGTCAGTATTTCAAGCTGTGTTTCTTTCTTAGTTTGATATGGTTACTTCTATGTAAAAAAAAAAAAAAAAAAAAAAA